AAACCATGAACCATAAGCCAAAAAACCCTCTGAAACCATAAGCTAAAATAAATCTCTCCTCCTTTAAGTTGATTTCTCTCGGGTATTTTGCCACGGTGATGAAAAACTAACAACCAAAGACTGAATGGTTTAAACAACAAATTTATTCTCCAGTTATGGACACTGAAGTCCAAGATCAAAGTACCTGTGTGGTTGGTTTCCTCTGAAGTCACTCTCTTTGGTTTGCAGACGGTCTTTCCTCTGTGTACTATGTCTCTAGTGTTTTTTCTGTATGTCCAAAGAACTGCCATATTTTGAATTTTTTGCTCCCTCTAAAATTCATATCAACACTTAATCCCTGATGCAACAATATTGGGAGGTGTAGACTTTGGAAGGAAATTGGTTCATGAGGAGAAAATGGAATTATGTGACTTTATAAAAGGGTTTGATTGAGGAAGTGAACTCCTTTTGCTTGTTTGCCTTCTGCTATATGAGGACACACTTTTCCTGCCTTCCAAAAGTTGTAGTGTCCCCAATGCCATCTTGGAAGCAAAGACCAGACCCTCACCAAACACCAAATGCTAGTGCCTTGATCTTTAACGACTGTCCTCCAGAAAAAAGAAAAAAAAAGAAATATCTGTTATTCATAATTATCCAGTCTCAGGTATTTTGTTAGAGCACTATAAGTGGGCAAAGACAAAGGTCCACCCTAACAGCCTCATTTTAATTTAATCACCTCTTTAAAAGCCCCACCTCCAAAAGCACTCACAGGGATTAGGGCTTCAATATATAAATTCTGGAGTCTAGCATTTAGACTATAATACTTCTTTTGAATACTCAATTTTCTTGATGAACCCTGAATAAAATTTTCATATACACAGCTTCACTATTTAGCTAGATGGAATGAGTAGTATAAGACCTATAAGGCCTATAGTAAACATATTATAGTCACAAATGGCATATAGTCGTAAACAATTTTCTCTCACATGTAATAATGCGTATGTGAGAGAGAGAGACTGTGTACCAGTATACAATAATGATCCTCCATGAATTATGCTTCCTTCTATTGGGTAGTGTCATTATACATTGAAAACTGGCTAATTCTATGGTTCATTTTAATCAATAAATGCAACAAAATGATACTGTATCTGTTTCAGGCATAAGTCTTAAGAAGGCTAGGCAGTCTCTGCTTCGTACATTTGGAAACCCTGAACCATTGTGTTAAATCCAACAATCATGGAATAAAGGGAATTATGTTAGTAAAAGAGAAGCAAAATTTTATAGTACATTGAATTTCCAACCTAAGTCTCAATAACCTCATTTGGTGAATCTCAGTTTTCTACAAATTGCTTCTAAAAGGTAGGAGTTTTATTTAACTAATATTGAGTGAAACAAAACGGCTATTGTCCATTTTTCTTGGAGATTTACAAACTCAAGGTATCTTTTAAAGTAGAGTTGGGAGATTGGTGAAGGCTCTCATTAAATTGTTATAAATTCCAAGGATATCTACATGATGAGGACATTTAATAAAATAAATCAGTGTGAAAGGAACTTTTTTAAAATCCACTTTTTATAGCATTAATTTATAGATAATAATCTCCAGACATAATAAATGAGGAAAAAGAATGACAATCTAACTTTGAATTTATTCTCTTCTCTCTCCACATTAATTTCTTCTTAAACTTTTTAAAATTCACAAAGTGATATGAAACCCATGATAAAACAGCCCTGAAGCTTATTAAAAAAAACACTTTGTTCATATTATTAAATTGTGGATTATTGTTTCTCTGCATATTTATTTACTAGTGAACTAAAGGTTAACACTCTCTGTCTGTAAATTAAATGGATTTGTAATTAGAGCCCTTGTTTAATTTGCTTTAAAGATCATTCCTGTTTATGTGTGGACCACAATTGCATTTTTAAATGTAATTGCTTCTAAATCCCAGAGGATGCTAATGTAGATTCAGCTCAATTCATTGTAATATCAAGAATTATGATTAAGGATTAACAATGTAAATTTTTGTAAAGAAAGCTAAAGAAAACTTTCTCTGTGACCCTCCTGTTGGTGGCTGTCAGTTACCTGTTGCTCAGAACTTAACCTCCAGGAGCCCTAGAACCTGGTGTACCTGCAACAGCTCCCCCAGACACATTCATCTGAGAATGTGGGCTAGAATACAAACTCTTCAGCATGTTAGTCTCCCCAAACAGTTCCCAGGGGAAGAAGGAAAAAATAATAATTATTCCAATCCAAGCAGTTCCTATTTTTCATCTCCGTATTGGGCCTCTCCAAAAAGTTATCTTCAAAGGTTAGGGGAGAATTTAGATGGAGCCCAGGATATTTTGATTATGTTGGAGCACATGGGTCAGCCATGTCCTGAAGCAAAATAGTTCATCCAGACTTTTCACATCACAGAGCGCCACGAGCCAGACCGCAGGGAGGCTCAGTGCCTGCACAGTGACCATTTCTGGAGTCACTGTGTCACAGGGTAGGACTGAGAAAAGGAAATGTGTTTTTACTTGCACTCTTCTCAGAGGAAACTGCTTGTAGATGGAGAGAATAAACACCTCCAAAAAGGGGATGGAAGGTTAAGGGAACTTTAATGTCCTTGGGCCTTGCAGGCTCTGCTTTCCTTCTAAGAGGCTGCATCTGATTGGCCATGGGGCTTTGTTTTTGTATATTCTTTTGCTAAGAAGGGAATGCAAATTTCAGGCCAAAACTGACTTTCTGGTGGTTATTCCAGAGGAGCTGAAAACTGCCACAACTGGCTCTTTATCTTCTCTCACTCCTTATTCAGTAGCTTCTTAAAATAAAATTTGAAAGAATATTCAAAGAATAACAATTTGGGCTTGAGATGTAGCTGTGTAACAGAGACCTTGCTTAGTATGCACAAGGCCCTGGGTTCAATCCCCAGCTCACCAACAACAAATATGGTAGCAATTTGAAGAATCATTACATTATTTAAGCTGTCCATGGAGTCCCCTGTCTGGTTTTGGTTCTGCTAGCTTTACTATAGCATGAAGAAATTAAATATGCCAGGTGATCCCTGTCAGCTTCAATATGTTAGACACTCCTCATAACCCCCTCAAGAGAATAAGTGCTGGTGCAAGGGTTGTGATTCAGTATAGCACTTGCCTAGCACATGTGAGGCACTGGGTTTGATCCTCAGCACCACATAAAAATAGATAAACTAAAGGTATTGTTCCATCTACAACTAAAACTCCTTTAAAAAATAAAAAGAAAAGAAAGAAAAATTACTATACTGCAATGTTTAAATCCAGAAGTACTTTACTAAAAACAGCAATGTGAACTGCACAAGATGGCGTATGCCTATAATCCCAGCTAATCAGGACACTGAGGCAGAAGTATTGCAAGTTTAAGATCAGCCTGGGCAACTTAGTGAGACCCTGTCTCTAAAAATAAAAAGGGCTGGGGACATAGTTCAGAGTTTTCCTGGGTTCAACTCTTGGAACTATAAAAAAAAAAAGAAATCAGCTGTGTAACTAGTATCATTTTATGGAGTTAAAATGAGAAATATACAGTATAGCCCTTCCCATCAAAGAGCATAGCATCTACTTAGAAAAGCAAGATTAAATTAAGCCTTCACCAAATCTTTGGCCATTCTGTAAGAAGCCTCTGTTCTTTAAGTGGCTGTTATGGAATATGGAACCCATCAAAGCAGAATTATTGTAGCAATGGGTCTCCCCTGTGTGGGTGTATGTGGGAGACACAGACAGACAGACATGGAACTTCTCAAATATAGTGACCTCACACCCAAATTTAAAGGCACCTAAATTATAAAGGTATTTACAGTAAGCAAATTTTAGCTGCAGAGACAAGAGAGCCTGTGTACACAGATGCAAAAAATGAAAAGGAGGGGAAAATTCCCTCAGAAACTTAATCATGCTATACCCCCTACCTGGATAATTAAGGGGGAAATGAGAAAACTGTTTCTGCAATTTTGCCTTTTTTAGATAAATTAGCAGGATAATTGCCTTGACTCCCCTCTTCCCCCAGTGGGTGGAGACACAGCTGGGCTCTGTGTAGAAGCCAAGCCAATCTTGATCCAAATGAAGGGTGAATCACAGTAGGGTTGCAAAATTAGTCTCTACTCTCCAATCTTCTTTCAGATTTGCCTTTATAGAAGACCTTTGTTTTGGGGCTGGGATGTAATTAAAGCTTATCAAATTATCCCACCCATTTCCCTATGCACAGTCAAACTCTGTATTATGTTTCTTATTCACTTACCCAGGTGCCTTTAAAATTTTTTTTTCAAATACTATTTTTTTAATAATTCTTGAAGAGATCTGTATCCTTCACAATCAAAGCCTTATTTCTGGTTGTACCAAGAATTTGCCCATAGTTTTGCTGTAATCTAAAGATTTAGTGTCTTCATTCATTCATTCAATCATATTTTGTGAGTGACTCCCCTTAATTCTGGACCCAATATGGAGGCTGAGAGACATAAATTTCTGGTCTTTATAAATTACCCAGTCTCAAGTATTCTGTAAAAGCAGCACAAACACACTAAAACAGAAGATATTCAACAAGTTTAACTATGGGGACTCATTTTATAAAATCAGTGGGCCTGGATTTTGAGTCACCTTAACTTGGGCTCTGAGATTGAAATCCACGCAGTTTGCTTAAGTAGCAAAATGCTATAGACATGTCTACATGACCTAAATGAATTTGTACTTAATGCCTAATTTTCTTGGTACTGCTAGTATTTATTGTTTCTCAAAAACACTTCCAGCATATATAAGGTTTAAATGTTCAACAGTGCACAAATAATCATTCAACGATTACAGAATCAGTAATCTTACCAACAATGTGTATATGGTAACAATTAGCCAACTGTAGTACAATTTTTATATAATTTATTATCCTCAACCTCTGATTTTCACTCTTGATATATTTCCCCCATATGTTTTGTGAGTGTTATAGTTGCTGCCAGTTATTTCTGAATGTGCTCACAACAGATAGGTTTTTCTCTGTACTTAACAGTGTTTATTATGTCTTCTAGGTTAACATCATCTGCCAATCTGGAATGTTTCTACAACACTCAAAATCTGTGAAAAATTTGAGGGTATAGTAACTAGGCCCCTAATTCTGGCTAGAGCATATGTTCTAGACTGTACTAAACAATTTATCTTAGAAGGCTTCAAAATGTTTTAGATTAAATCAATCCTCCTCAAGGATAAAAATCAGCTACTTTGCATCTAGATATAATGATTAAAAACAAAGTTCTACAAGTCAAGCTTGAAGACTTTTTATTATAACTCATCTGAGCAAAAATTTATTTTTTTTTAATTTTTTTTAAAGAGAGAGTGAGAGAGGAGAAAGAGCAAGAGAGAATATTTTTAATATTTATTTTTTTTAGTTCTCGGCGGACACAACATCCTTGTTGGTATGTGGTACTGAGGATCGAACCTGGGCCGCACGCATGCCAGGCGGGCGCGCTACCGCTTGAGCCACATCCCCAGCCCCCACAAAAATTTATTTTTAAAGGCAATAACATGCAATCATTATCACAGCTTTAACAAAAACTTATAAGTATTTGCATTTATGATTTCTATGTAGTTGAAGACAAAATATCAAATATATTATGTCTGTATCAAATACTCAGTTTTTTAAAACTAGGAATATCAAAACATTAATAGTAGCTATCTTAGATATTAGAATCATTGATAACTTTTATCTTCTACTTTATGCTTCTTATATTTTTTAATTTTTTTGCAACAAACATATATTGCCTTGAAAATGTATCTTACAGCATTTCAAGTCACCAAACACCTGTGTTCCTATTTTAAAAGATTAAATTTCATATTTTCCACATTCCCAAACTCAAACCTTAATATGTAAGAAAATCAAGTTTCCTGGCCGTGGTTAATAGATTCATATTTTGCTTAAAATTGATCATTAAATTTGTGGAGCATATCAATATAAGTTGGAAAGAATAAAGTAAATGTTGAAACAAACAACAAAAATAATTATTAATTCAGTAATCATGATTATATCATAATATATTAAAACCTAAACATCCTTCAGAACTAAGGATCCATCTTTTTTTAGACTAATATTTTAAAGGCCACATTTCTTGTAAATATGTTTTTCCACTTATAATAGGTTGTAGAACTGTTCTTAGCCAACGCTATTAAAGTAGACATGAAAATCACATACATCCAAAAAATATATGTATAATTATTATCATTTAGTAACTGGTGTGATTTTACATGAGTTCGATGAATATTTGGGAAATGGAAAATCTATAAAATCTAGAATTCACTTGCCATAATACTAAAAGACATTTTTGTACAATGTTTTATTTTAATGTATTTGGCAAGATCCATGATATTACAGTAAAATTATTCCAAAAGCAACTGGACTAAATACCTCAAATTATATAGCACAACTTTGACAGGAAAGGAAAGCAATATAATTAGTCAATAGGTCTTTAGTACCTGCTCTCTGCCCAGCTGGATCTTGTTCAAGGAGTTTAAAAAGTGTAAGACATGGCCCAGGTAAAGAAGCTTACAGTTTATTAAGATTACAACAAACCTCATTAAAAATTTTCAAAAGTTAGACATGACTGTGGTGTTGATTATAAGAACAATAAATATTTGGAGAAAAGGGAAAATTGTGGAGTGGGCAGTCATGAAAGTCTTACTGGGGCTGGACTTGGTGGTTCACTCCTGTAATCCCAGCAGCTTGGGAGGCTAAAACAGGAGGATAAAAGCCAGTTCAAAGCCAGCCTCAGCAACGTAGCAAGGCCCTAAGCAACTCAGTGAGACTTGTCTCTAAATAAAATACAAAAAAAGGGCTGGGGATGTGGCTCAATGGTTGAGTGCCCATGAGTTCAAAAAAAAAGGCTTCCTGGGAAAGAGAAGTCAAGAAGGTTAGATATGGTCAAGAAACAAGAACAGATGCTATTTCAAAAAAATGAAAATTGTCTTTATTCAGACAATGGTCTGTTCTTTCAAGTTCTGCAGGGAAAAGAGAGATGTGAGGAGGAGAGGAATGAGAAGACTTGATGGGCAGAAGTGATGGAGTAAAATGCAATCAAGTGAAGGGAACAAAATGGGAATTGTAAACATGTCCTCACTCGGCGGGGCACGAGCAACTAACACCACCTGAGTCCATCCAGTTTCCAAGTGAGGGTTCTTGCAATCCCTGAGAGGAAGTTATCATCAATTCAAAATATCAAATATCAGGCTTAGCATGGGGTAGGCACAGGCTGATGGCCTGGATCTGTACTTAACACAAGTCTTCATGTCAAGACATTCCTCCAAATGTTTGTTTCACTTTAAATTGGCTGCTCTGGGATTCCATCTTATCCTTTGACTCTCTAATCCTTTCTTAAGCTCAAGATCCATGTACTGCAGCCTATTCAGTACCCCAGCCCGTTTGGCTCCATCCTTGCTATTGGGACTGAATCTGACCTTTCTCGTCATATTCTACAAAAGCTAGATAATTTGTAATTTGAAAATCTATGAATAGATAATGTGATACATAAATGCTATATTTATTTCAACTATGCATTAGGAAGCTTGGTGTTTGGGGGCTTATGCAAATTTACTGAATTAAAACTGTATAATTTATGAGAGGAAACTTGAATGTAATCTTTTCCTTTTGGGAGTTTGAAAAGAATGAAGGGAAAATCATTGGAATGAATATGGATTTGTTTTGTACAATGAAACTCATATGTGAAAATGATCTATAGGGCATTCAATTCAGCTTCCTGCCAATGTGGAATTGCTTCCTACCATAAACTTCAGGGTTGAGTTTAGACTACTTTAAAATATGACTCAGCTGCTATCAAATACCACAGAAAGCATGTTTGAGTCTTGGGCAAAGTAAACTTGACCTTCTGTAAACTGTACTACATATCCACAAATAAAACTGTACTACATATCCACAAATAAACATGTTTTCTGCTCACAATTGACTTTAGGCTCCTAAAAAATCTGGAAATAAGATATATATATATATTATTTTTTTAATTAACCAAAAACCAAATACTATTCCTCAAAACATCAGTGTTGTTCTTATATATTTTCTGAGGTCATCTCTTCTAGAAATGGCTGATATAACGTGACATAGAACAACTACTTTAAGTTTGTTGCAGATTTGCAGATGGGAATATAATGGCATATATATATATAAGATATATATATATATATATATATATATATAATTTTGTCTTATTAAACCTGTATTTTAGCATGTAACCTGTCCCTGGGGGAATATATAAAAGAACAAGGCCCTTTTCTTGTACAACCTAGACCTGGCCCAAAACATTTAGATAATGCTCTTCCCTACATTTTGGCTACTATGTCAAAGAAGCTACAAACAAATTTGTTTTAGGTAATTCCTTTAATTTTTCTCCAGCTCCAGGAAATGTGATTCTGGCTAATACAACACTCAATTATGTAATGCTTTTGAAAATTGAATGAATGAATAGTCAAATGAATTAACAGACTTAAATCCAGTCTTGAACCCAAATTTCATAGTTTCAATATCCACTCTAAAATGGCAACCTTTTAATAGCTCCCCACAGCCTTTAAAAGAATAACCAAATCTTCAATAGGGCCTAGGACACCCTATAAAGTCATTGTCCATGTTGGCTCTCTTGAGATAAAGGGAGAAAAATACAGATGCCAACAGTAAGATTCATCCGTTATAATGGGGACACGTAACTCATGCAATCTCTGATCTTAGAATAAATGACTAATGCATTCTCTGATGCATGAAGGTCACGGACCCTAGAAGCTGCCAGAGACCTAAGGAGGACAGGGATTGACCTAGGGAAGAAGATAGGGAAAGTGAACAAACCGTTGAACATAAACAATGCCCTTGATTAGAATTAATTTCTCTCCTATATATTCTCTCTAGAAAGAGGCTAACAGTTTGTGTTGCCATTTTAATAAAGATTTTATTTTCCTAAAGTCTGGCCATCTCTTAAATTAACCAAAAACCAAATACTATTCCTCAAAACATCAGTGTTGTTCTTATATATTTTCTGAGGTCATCTCTTTTAGAAATGGCTGATATAATGTGACATAGAACAACTACTTTAAGTTTGTCGCAGATTTGCAGATGGGAATACAATGGCACATGAAGAGGAAAAAAATACTTTGAATTTAGAAACAAAGGGAGTCTTGACTTTTGAGGTGTCAATCTGAAGCTTTTTATGAGAAATTTTAAACTGCTTTTATCACTAATTAATAAATAACGATATGTTGGACAAGCAGATATAATACTGACAAAAATAAACAGATACACGTCTCAAAAGCTATTAAACACTAACTTCATCTCGTCTGAATGCCATTATTTCAGTGTTTTGTTCAATGGAAACTGACACTTGGTATATTAGACCAATTATGAAATGGAAAATAGTGTGTAAAATAATTACAGTCAGGCCTTTATAATCAGGCTCTCTTTCCTTTTCCAATTTCTCTATTCCCAAAACAAATAATTTCCTTCATCCATTATTTTCTGGCCATCTTGGAAATCCTCAAGACCACCCTTATGTTTTTGCTCATAAAATTTTTCCTGCAATTGTCCTTCTTGGCTTTTATAAAAATTATTCCCTGCTGGACTCGATGGAGCACACCTGTAATCTCAGCAACTCAGGAGTTTGAGGGAGGAAGATTGCAAGTTCAAGACCAGCCTCAGCTACTTAGCAAGGCCCTGTCTCAGATAAAAAGGGCTGGGGATGTGGCTTAGTGGTAAAATACTCCTGGGTTAAATCCCCAGTACCTCACCTCCAAAAATTACTGAGGACAAAAATCAAGACTTGGCAATCCTTGTTTCCCCTACATATTTCTGCATATATAAAAAAAGTTTTTATCTAATATCTACATGTAAAAAAGTATAAAATTTGTGGGGAGGAAGGTTGGGAAAAGTTTGATCAATGGGCACCAAGTTTGCAGTTAGATAGGAACAAAAAGCTCTGAGGTACTGTTGCATAGCTCTATTGTTCTATAGATAATAATTATTGACTATGCATTTCAAAAAGCCAAAAGATTTAGAAAGTTTTCACAACAAACAATTGTTAAATGATTGAGAAGATAAATGTTTGACCTGATATAAATATTATACAAGGTAAACATGTACAAAACATTACATGATACCCCATTAAATGTACAACTTTTTGTTTTGTATCCATTAAAATAAACTGTACAATAAATGCTTATACAATTAAATGAATTTTTATTACCAACTTCAGTCATTATTATAACAATCTTCATAT